GTCATTACCCTAAAACTTCAGCCTCCTAGACTCCGTGATTCCCGAGATATTAAGTTACCTGTGAATAACTTTCACGGGGCCGTATGTGTTACCCGCGGGTAAGGGAAGGCTGATTTTGAATGGGCAAGGTTGAGCATGAGCAGTGGGTCATAACCATAAAATTTCAGCCTTCTAGACTCCGTGGTTCCCGAGATATTAACTTACCCGTAAAAAACTTTCACAGGGCCGTACGCGTTACCCGTGAGTACGGGGAAGCTGAATTTAAATTTGCGGGGTCACACGTGGGTAGGGAACGTTACCCTAAATTTTCAGCTCCCTAGCTTTTGTGGTTCCCGAGTTGAAAGTTGCGGACAACCCCTTAAATTTTCAGCTTCCTAGCTTTTGTGGTTCCCGAGTTGAAAGTTGCGGACAAGTTGCTGCGTTAAATTTTCAGCTTCATAGCTTTTGTGGTTCCCGAGTTGAAAGTTGCGGACAAGTTGCTGCGGGAAACGTTACCCTAAATTTCCAGCTTCCTAGCTTTTGTGGTTCCCGAGTTGAAAGTTGCGGACAAGTTGCTGCGGACACATACACACACACACACAAACACACACACAGACAACCCCGTAACAATATGCGTTTTGTACTGCTGTTACACAATACAAAACGTATAATAACGAACGCCGGGGAACAGATCTAGCCCCTCCCTCAAAAAACTGTATAAAAAGGGCTAGATTCCTCAGTGCCTCTCGCTTTTTCGTCACCCTTCTGCAACGCCAGTCACCTCATCGACCCCGTCTTCTTTCGGCATCACCTCCCGTTCAGCGTTCGTTAACGACTTCATCGACGTCAACAACTTCGTCAATATTTTTTGGTCGACGAGTATCCCAGTAACCAACGACTATTATTATTAACGACTACTACTATTGGTCTACAACAACAGCATCCAACAGTTCGTCTGTAATTCATGTTGAGATCTTTTCATACAAAAATTGTCCGCCACAAGAGGTGAGCTCGGTCCTCCCAGTTCGACATTTGACGACAACGGCAACTCTATGGAATCTGCATCAACCGGCAATCTTTCGACGTGCAATTTTCCGCTGACCATTACGGTTCACATCCGCTTCTTGTCCAAGACAGACGCAGCTGTCAACTTCTTCCAAGTCTGCGCCCTTGTTGGCCTGACGCTGGCATACCGTTCTTGCATCTTTTCGGTGCATTAACTTTCAGGACTATTTTTTAACTTTGTGCGCCGAGCTCCTGCAGCATTTCCTTTATTTCACGAAAGTTATTAGCAATAAGAACTATGTCATCCACGAAGCGTAATTGACTTAATTGCTTGTCGCCAATCTTCAGGCCTCCTTTCCAATCCTCCTCTACGTACTTGAAGCTGCCGGGGTTGTATCCCGTCGTGCTTCGCTCGACATTGCCTACTCCTTTGTCACTCGTACACCACGGTAAGGTGCCTGGGTTGAAAATTTTGGGGGAGAGCTCCTACCTAATCACTTCAATTGTGGAAATTTTACGTTTCTTGTAATTTCGACGACTTGTAAAGATAAAAAACTATCTCGTAAGAAACTGCTACAGGCCCATGCAGGAAGTTCAGAACTGGCACCAACTTGCTTCGATGTTTCTGGGATAAGATGGGATCATTAACAGCCTTATCAAAGTGTAGTTACTTTTAGCAACATGCTATTACAGAAGTTTGGGGGAGGAGGGGGGAGGTAGA